GAGAGTCCCGAGGAGAGAGGCGGAGGTCCCGGTGAGCAGGCCGCACAGGAGAGCCAGAGCCCAAAGCTGAGACATGATGACCTGACACCTGTACAGTCACAGAGGAAGAGGAGTGAGCATTTCCCAGGGGGATAAAGAGTCTTTGGTGCACAGCTCTCCTTTGTCAGGGACTGGTCCCGATCATGGATTATTGGGGGGCAAGACAGGCAGGGTCCAAAGGTGGGGGCGGTGACAGTAAGCAGAGATTCCTAAAGGGAAAAAGGGGAGCGGACACGAAGAAGACATGGGAGTCGGAGTGGGTGCAAGTCTTCTGGCTATCTTTTTGCAGGTCTTTATTTATACTGTTTAGCAAGATTTAGTTACAATAATGGATCAGGTAAGTTAATAAGAAATCAGCATAAAAGTTCTAAAGGAACTTTATGGCACACTAGACTATACATCTTTGTGATAACTTTCAATATACGGATGTTTAACTATAACTTCAAAGGATAAGGGTCTGGCAAAGGATGAGTTGTTAGCGAGGAATTTAGAGTCCTAGGGAAGGAATTAATTGTGTTAGCAGAGTCTTCAGTGATAGTCTAAAGAAAAGCTAATGGCTAACTTAAGGTTAGCAGAGAGTAGCTAGTGTTCGCTTTAGGAAAAGGGTAATTAAGACTAGCAGAGAGTAGTTAGTGATTGTTTTAGGAAAAGAGAAAATTAAGAGGAAGTCACATAGTTATGCATTAAGCAAAACCTGTGTTGATAATGTTAGGAAATTGCCCATGGGTCCTTATGCCCTGGAAGTTATCTAAGATTTCCTTTTTGTTTCAAATGACCAAGGAAGCTTTCCAGGAGTCTTGATGCTCCAGGGTCTTATTTCTCCAGGAGCTTCCCTTTTGTCTTCAGTCAAAGGAATTTCCTGCCCTGGAGAAGCTCAGCTTATACTTTGCCCAGGCCAGGTAGCCAGTTTAGAGCTAAGGCAATCCAGTTACAAACTGATGTTGCCACAATATTTTTGATATTATGATTATACCAAAAAAAAGAGGTCATAACATAAGTTAGCAATGGAAGCTCCAATTTTTCAGAGCGTTCTCTACCCGCCCGGAATTTGTCAGTCCAAGGAAGTTGCATATCTTGTGTCACTCCTTTCCTGGTGAGTGTCCTTGAAGGGACAGGTGGTTATCCATGTTTTACAGGTTAGAAAGTGGAGCACTTGGCCTAGAAACACACAACCAGGGCTTGAAGAGTGTGATTGGCATGAAAGTTGATCCTAGCATGTGGTCTTTACACTAAAGTCCTTTGCACACACTGGAGTCTCCTAGAACACTGCTTCAATTCTTGTGTGTACTAAAGTCACTTCCTCCTGAATCTCCACCTCAGAGGACATCCCAACCTCTGTGAGACGCACTCTGGCTCCCTCCCCACAGGTTAGGGGTTCCAACACCTTCGGCCTGCCTTGGTGTTCGGGTCAGCAAAATGGGTACTATAAGAGATGACTTGTCTGCCCTTCCCTCAGGTGAACTCCTGAGAGGAGCACTGTGACTGATTCACTGTGGAACCCCAGACCCAGCAATACTTGCTCCTGGTATAGGCCAATAGATAAATATCGCTGACCAAAGTGTGAGCTAGTAATGGGCACCATGTTGTGAGCTCACCTGGCTCAGTGAATTCCCCTTCTCCTAAGAATATCTTCATCTTCACTAGCTATGTTCACAGTAGTAGCTAATCCAAGAGACCCTCCCTCTGTCTCCTGCCCCCAAGCCTTTGCAGGGTATCATCGGAGGAAGGTGGGATCTCACCTCATCGGGTTGTGGAGGAGGCTGAGAAGCCGTCTCTGTTGCCGGGTGCCTGGATGGTGCAGGGTGGTGGTGGCCCTTTTATGGTGGTGATGGGGTGGGAGGAGGCTGCCCTGGAGAACGTCCTGGTGCTGGGGCCAGCCAAGGAGACTCCAAAGAAAATAACCCCCGTCCCGGATGAGCACGGAGACTTCCAATCCAAAGGTTAACCAGGAAGCCTGGTTTGGAATGGGAGAATAGGAGGAGGCCTTTGTGCCAAGACTAAGACCAGGTTCTCATGGAGTCGCCAATGCCAGGACAGTGGCCACTGTGGACAGGGCTGGCATGAAGGCTGAGAATGGACTAAAAGGACAATGTGCTGGTGGAAGGATACGCAGAGACCTCTGAGCTTATTCTGTCACCCTCTGCAAACAGTGAGGGGAAGCAGCCAGCTGGAAGTCACTGAGTGAGTCCAGGAAACAGACAGGGACAGAAGTGGGGCCCACAGACTCAGGGTCGGTGGCGGAAGGCGATCTGCTGCACCCCACCCCCGCAAGCCTAGGGTCCCTGTGCTCTCTACATCTCTCTTGGGGGACCCAGACTCCTAGGAATTTTGCATTGATGGGGACCGCATAACCCACCCTAAAGTCTGCCCATTCCTGCTACCTGCAGTAGCGACCTCCTGAGAGCGACCACATTACCGCATGTATGTGGGTACCAGTGAGCCCCAGTTCGGTTGAGGCCTGCCTGGGTGCACAGCCAGTGTTGGGAGACCGCACCACGGCCTCACGCGAGGCCTCCCCGGGTCACTCGCCTCCTTGGCTCTCGGTCAGCGCAGTATCTTCAACCCAAGTCCCCACACGGCCCTTGCCCCTCCTAGACTTCCTTCTGTTCCGAAAGATGCCAAGCTCTTTCCTCCCTTGGGTGTTGTGTGGGTCATTCTTGAAGCCTGGAACTCTCCTCCCCCCAACTGCCTTTTCTCCAACATCACCCCTGAGTCCCAGGCTGACCCTGGGCGGTCCCACCCATTGTCTCCAGCCTCAGCTTCTGCTGGCTTCCTGCACAGCCAGCCATCCCGATTGCATTCTTTCTCCTTTTCCTCTGCCTTCAGCAAGT